ACCTAAAATGCAATTTTCAAATATTTAAATTTTCCTGGCGATTTATCAAAAAATATTAACTTTGCCCAAGAGTGAAGAATAAATATGTAAGTAGGTTAGGTAGGTTTTGCAATGAAAATATTATTCTTCCTTTTTTTGAAACGTATTTTTAAACTAACAATACAAATTTGACTGTATACATTGTAAGTGTAAATAATAAGAAATACAATAAAGCAATTACTGATAATATAATTGATAAATAATTAATATTGTAGAAACAGTTGTAGAAAACCAGCATTTTTTTCGCCAATAGCTATAATTGCGTATCGGAACGAGGTTCTTACTTCTGGACAACTTTTCAATAGCAATTGTTGATATTGTCAAAAAATGTACTTTGCTCTTGTCCAAAATTAATATTTTTTGTCAAACCTCATATAAGCCTGAATAAAATTAATATCTGATAGTCTAGAATCACTTTTGACCTAATATAACAATAAACAAATTTTCGATATGCTTATATATATTTTTAATCAGAAAATCTGTTATTGTTGCTTTATTCAAAATCCGTCATATTTAATTTTAGTTGCGTTTAGAAAAAATTGTTCGATTCAATTCAACGTCAAAATAAATCAATGTTTGACTAACATTAACAAGCTAATGTTTAACTGGTCTCAAAATGGACTTCTTATCGGTTAATAGCAAATTGTAAGAAATAGTGGATAAAGGTACTAAAAAATAGGTACGCAATTCAATGTGACATTAAAACAATAATAGGCAATAGATTAAGATTTCCTTTTTAATCATAATTTCAATTTCACATGGATAATGTGGCATTGTTTCATTGTAATATGTTGAAATGAACTGATAAGATATTGAGCAAAAAATTAAGATGATTAAGTGAAGTCAAAAACTGAAAATAGTTCAGCAATCCTATCATACATCTGGAAACATACTTCTCAGTGAATYATTGTTGAAAATCTTCATACTGGTGAAAATATTCMTATTAATGGCAAAAGTACATACAAAAATGTACACCAATACAATAAAATAATRACGGCTGCGACAACTACTTTACATGGGAAAATGAAGACATGATTAAAYATAATTAATGTTATTAAGATTAAAGATAAAAACTTTAAGTAAGACATTTGACACAAAATATCTATAGGAAAATGTTGCCTATTTCAAAAGTAAGGCGAATGTAACATGGCCACAATTTTGTTCYACTATGTATATTTAAAAAAAAGACRGATATTCTCAATTATGTGCGATTCTGAGATTATTGGCTTATAGTAATATGTAATATACATGTAAGTACAGCTAGGATCCTACCGTTTTTTCCTGYGACTTATTCGGWATTGAGCGTCAAATAAAAAATTAAGTTTAAAAAATGTACGTAAAACAAAGAGAAATAACAATAAAATAAATACAAACAGAACAAAGGAAATTACTTTTAATACTTTACTTAAAATGTTACTTGTGTTTCAAAACCAATCTAGTATCTGATCATTTTCCTTAAACAAAATTAGCAATAAAGAGATGGAATCAATAACATTGTGTTCGTCTTTTGCAACTAATCTACAGATAATTTTTTTCCAACAAGTCCTATTGTCTTTCGAACACCTTGTATCTAAATAACATCAATTCGCAGGTGAGACACATTGTTTACATGTAGATAAACATTGCCTTTTAAGGTCGTGTTTTTACTTGTAAATTTACAATTTATGTTGAAAAAAACCTTGAATTAAACCATACGTTTACATATACTGAATAATATTATTTACGTGTATCTAAGAAAAACATTTCCTCTCTTCTATCTGTTTTAGTCATATTTCTGTTTAATAGATAATATAAAAATTCCAAAATATAAATAAAAAATCCAAATATTGTAGTTAAGTAGATACAAATGTTTTAATTATGAAATATTCACTTTTAGGTGCACAAATCCGAATACTTGCATTACATCCACGTTGAACATCAAAGAACAGAACGATCTGCCAGAGTATATACTTGAAGTCTCAAGTGGTACTTATTTTTAAATAAGCTCGAGATGGTTAACCAATTGAACGTTTTTGGAACTACTCAGATCATGTGTTGCAGAACCACTTAGCAAATCACTTATAAACATTATAAGACTCTTTAATTCAAATATTTCAATTCGAATTCAAAATAGACAATTTTAAAGACCAAAAAATTACAAATTTTGCGATCAGACAAAAGCGTAGGATGTTTTTAATCTATAAAGAATAGGTAGGTTTTTTATTTATTATTTTTTACTTATTTTAGAAAATTAATAAACTCAGTCCCTTCAATCAATCCTCAACACCCTGTATTTTCCTAAATTGCATTTCGGACTTTTGGTTCATTTATCCTAATAACTTAACGTTTACCGTATAATCGAATGCAACTGATTAAAGAAACAATATACATACATACAATAAAATTTTACAAGTCAGTTTGGGTTATTTTGAGCACCTTTCGTGAATGAGATTTTCTCATATTTAAATATGATTATTGCATAAAAATAACGAACACCGGTTATCTCAGTTCTGTAACAATCAATATAGACAACGTACACCTCGCAACGTATACCAAGACATTGAATGGAGTGAATAACATATAAAACTTAAAAAACAACAATAAATTTAATTAAAAATTTAAATAGGTATTTCATTGGTTGATAGTAGCTTTATGCAACGGGTCTAATAATGGAACTGTTCCCAAACATATCTATTTTGGAAGCCGAGGTCAAGTCAATTGTGTTCAATCAAGCAATTAACAGACAACAATCCAATTTTCAATTTCGCTTTAAACGTTAACTGGTAAAATAATTTTACAGTAATTAAAGCAAGACGTTTTTGCAACCCCTTTCGATTATTGAACCTGCATTTTAATCGATGTTTTCTTAGGGGTTTTAGTCATTCTAGTACGAAAATTTAGTTCTTATAGTCGTATTAAAACGTCTCTATTTTCAAATATATTTTGTCTCATACTATTAACAGGCGACTATGAGATATTTATTTATGCACATTAGCAGGAGAGCTCTAAAAATACACATTGATAATAAGTGTTTACCAATATATGTGCTTATGATTTTAAGAAAATACGTGTTATTGCGTTATCCTGTTGATTACTTTCAAATTAATATTTATTATTGTACTTAGTTGTATGTTTTTCTCCTGTAACTAGTTAAAGTGCATATATTTGTAAAGCTAAAAACAATTTTAAAAATCTAAATCAGGCGAAAAATAATTATACAACGTTCACTGCTCTTTAATGTATCACTTCCTATAAAACCTGCTAAATTCAGGAAGCAATTAACATTTTAAAATGCCATTTAAATTCGTAGGTCAGCATTTGAATAAATTAAGTTGATTGTGATATTTGGAAAGCAAACTGCATGATTCTAGATTCGATTTAAACAGATTTGTTCAAATTACTCAATAAAATACTAACGCGCGGTCAAACATTGTATAATTTATTAAGATCGCTATTGCTAATATAGTTTGTGCGTGACATGCAAGTAAAAAAAAACGATTTATGAACGCAATGAAGCATCATTTATTATAAACTGATCTGGTTCTTCTTTTGTACATTAATTCCACTTTTTATTGAGCAATGACCTTCTACTAGCAATTCTTATAACATTCTTAGAACAAGTCATCGGCCCCATTATGTATGTAAAAACTACGATGTTGGATCTCTATTTGATTAAATTTTGTGAAGAAATAATTTGTCAGTTTTGCAGCAATTTTAAACGTATTTTTCAATGCTGAGAGCATGAGTTTGCAATCCCAAGCTGGCAAAGTTGGGACGGAAGTTGCGGGCCTCGGCTGCTTACAATTAAAACCTTCAAAACTTTGCGAAAAAATCATAAAAAATATATATTATTTCCCGTATTATTAGTTTGCTTTACATTTTTAGAGAAACTTTATAAAGCTGGACGAGGCATTGTTGCATGTTGATAAAAACAACCCTATAAAGTTGAGCCTTATGAATGGTGCAATATTTCCAACTTTTTCGGAATGTATGAAGATATTTAAAAGTTTTTCAAATTTCGCGGATAACATTTTAGACGTTAGACATGTGTAGAAAATATAGTGATACAGAGGCAGTTCCACAGCATCTTAAAATTAGACAATTCGACCTCCATCTCCATCAGTTTCTCATATTGCCAAATTAGGTAAAAACAATTCTTAAAAAACGAATCGCCTAATAGTTATTCAGATACTTTGATGGCTTCTCAGACGAAAAGTTCCTAAACTTGTGTTTTCAAATATTTAAAAAGTTATAAATTTATGTCAAATCCTACTTAGAGAAAGTCTATTAAAAAGATCCATATATGATTATTCAGATCTTTTTATCTCTTTCCAAGATATGAGCTTTTAAAGCTCTATAAAATTGGAAATTTTTAGTTTTATCTCGTTAGAGTATACGAATAACATCACAGGAATAAGTTAAGTATAAGTACCGAATTAGAAAGCAGTTAGTACCATTGGCATAACATATTAATGGAGCTTAGCTGTAGTAAATAGCTGTAAATTAGACTTTAATGTTATCGAGCTAAGAAGAAACGGATGAGAAAAAAGAGATCATACGGGTCTTCAGGCGTAGGTCAATAAAAGGCTAAAGAGCAATATGCAAGTGCTCAACTATTTTCAATTCATAAATATTATTATTATTCATAAGCAAGGAAATAAATAGATTTGTCAGAGAAAATGAGTAATTCCGTAACAACGTTTTATAACGGTGGTTATTTATATTGGATTTCCTGTTATTGTTATTGGGACAGCTGTATGCAATACAGGGTGCAGCAGAAACCACTAACCAATTACTTTTTGCGCATCATCATTGTGTAAATGTACTCTAGCTTGAATGCCAAATTTTGCCCCTTCTAATTTGCGGATCTTGCCTCATCGATTTTCGTCTGCTTTAGCACATATTTTTTTCTCACATCTTATTTTATATCATTAATTTTTAATGATAGTATATGTAAGGAATTTTTATTGAAGCGTATCCAATTGAAAACAAAACATATATTTGTACAAATTTAATATTACACACCAATATGGGGAAAGACGATACTCCCTATTTTAACAATTTGGGAGTTCACAGCAGTTAAATACATCGAAGGACATTACTTGTAAAAGAGCTTAATTTATAAGCCTTCCAAAGCAGGTCAAAAATTATCAGATGATGTTTTATAGATCATAGAACTTGAATCTGGATGAAAAAGTCAGCGTTTCCATTTAAAAACTCAACGTGACCGTCATAACTTTATTTTGAGCTACCCTGTATACATCAAAGTAACAGAAATAAATAGTGGCGACAACCATAACACTTCTTCTGTAATATCTAAGAGGGCGTGTTGCTTCGCTGATTCACCCTGTAAATTTTTCTCGTTTGCCAATAGTTGCATTTCAAAGCGTAACTGAAAACGCAGGTTCACCTTAGGACCAAGAATCACGTCCCATTAACGAACCAAAATGTAACGTGTACGAATCGCCGAACAATATGACGTGATAATCACGTAATATGATTTGTGTTGTTTAATAATAGTGGTTTTAGTTACATTAAGTTATAACTGTTGACTCCAAGTTTGGATCAGAAGTGAGTTGGGGCACGTTTGACGGACGCTTGTAGCTACACTTAAATTAATTCCAACCAATTTAATTTTGTTTAATTACTCACTTTTACATTTCCTATATTAGTATGTTCGGGTGTATTATCTCGATGGACCACCTGACAAATGCCGATAGTTAAAACTTGTTTATATGTTGTAAGTTTATTCATTTCAAAGTAGGCAGTTAATCTTTGCCATAAATAACAAGTAGTATAAACTAACGCGCTTTATATTTATAAACAAGTTTTAGTTAAATTTATGTTTCTAGTTGGAAGTTGGTTACATTAAGACAAATAATATTGTCGCTCCTGATACTTTTATCAGATTAAGACAAATAATATTGTCGCTCCTGATACTTTTATCAGATATTAATTTGGTAAATACATATTCTTGTCCGCATGAAATACAATAACATAAACTATGAAAATATAACTTTGTTGCTAATTTAAATTAAAATCCCTTCTTCAATCTTCAGCATATATCAGCTTATTGTTAATTTCATGCATCATAAATTATACTCACTTGTTGGTAACAGTTTATCAAATTAGGAAAGCACTATTTAATATACCTAACTACAATTTTTGTAAGACAACTTTTGACAATAACAAACAAGTGTGCTGACAGTTAAACTGCACCGATGCCAATTTGTTACAATAGCAGCAAATATGAGTACTTTGTGAGTTGAGTGTCTACTTTGTCTATTTTATTCTGGAGGCTCAGAATAGTCCTGTTTATGATAAAACATAAATATACCGTAGCTGTAGTTTTTCCTATTATTTTTTACGCTATTTGTAATTGACAATTATTTTTGACAATGCTCTCTTATTCTGATCGTTACTTTTTGTGAAGGACCTGTGGCAACACTCCATGCATACATTAGACGTAAACGTCATGTGACGTGAGAAGTTTTGTTATTGTCTGAAAAATTGATGTTTTTTAGATAGGTTTTTACATATCCCACGCAAAGCACAAAAGAAAGGAATGTAAAGTAAAGGTAGGAATTCGTGTAAGTATAAAATCGATGACATTGTTTAACACATCCATGCTACTCATGTAGGAAGCGTAAACATGGGAAACTCTGGCCTGAAGCAACACATTGAGACTGCCCAAAAAACTGGTGTTCTTAAATTGTCTCCGGGAAAATTGAATCAGTTTCCACCGGGATTTCAGCAGCTGGAAGGATGCTTGAGGACACTAGATCTGTCGGATAACAAATTTGTTGTGTTACCGCCAGAAATAAGTCGCTTCATGCAACTAAGGCATCTAAACTTGGGAAAGAACAAGTTGAGTAAGCTGCCGGATTCCATCGGAGCCCTAACCAGATTAGAGACTTTTAATGCTTGTGAAAACACACTGACTTCTATTCCAAGAACGTTCTCCAATTTGATTCACCTTAAACAGGTAATTCTAAATGGTAACCAACTCAGACAGTTTCCAACTGTATTTTGTGGATTAAAACATTTAGACCTGCTGGATTTATCGGGAAACTCAATCCAAGTAGTTCCGAATGACGTTTATAATTTATACGTAATAGAATTAAACTTAAATAGAAATGAAATATCTAGCTTCTCTCCAGAAATAGCGAATTGTCCACGACTGAAAACATTAAGACTTGATGAAAACTGTTTAACTCTAAGTGCTATTCACCCTAGAGTATTAGCGCATAGTCAAATTTGCAATTTGTCTTTAGAAGGCAATCTTTTTGAATTAAAGGAACTAGCAAACGTCGAAGGCTATGATGCTTATATGGACAGGTTTACTGCTGTAAAGAAAAAGCTGTTTTAGATTACGCAAAACTGAACATTCAGCTTTTACAGCCTCAAAACAAGTGTATGCTTACTTTCATATAATACTAAATATAATGCATTCTATCATGAAAGTATTAAGCTAACAGTTTATTACATCTGAATGGCCTAGAAAGATAGATATTATATAACACATGTTCATCATACTTGATCAGCAGAAAGATATTAGTATGTGGCATTAATAGTATCGGTTAATTTAGAAAGCAGTAACTAATGAATTGGGAAAGTGTTACTCGAAAATATATAGTAGAATTAGGTAGTCTGATTAGAATAGTTAATTTATTGTTTTATTTATTTACACTACCGTCTTCAACGATTACTTCAACCACAGCAGTAATTTCATCTTTATGCAACTTTGTCTAGCAGATAATCACCACTATTCTACCACCCTAGGTAAAGTCTGCAAGAGAAAATTACCCAGATCCTAAAATACTAAGCTCACGGTAACGATCCAGTATTTCTATTCCTGATTCTCTCAGGTTTCAAAGTCTAAAACTGAACTAGATTTCTGTTGATATTATTCTTTATTATGTTTTCGCAGTAGAATTAAGCATCAGCTAATTCATTCGCTTGACTATGTAGAATACAGTTGCAAACGATAAAAATGCAGATACCTATAACTTATTTGGTTTACTTCCCAATTAAAATCTGAAAAATAATTGATAAATCACCTACAAACCGTTTGCGCCAAACAAATATTATTTAAATTATATATATGTACACAGTTAAAACTTAAATATATACACTAACTTCAGCACTTGATCAAAAAGTATTCATATTCCAAGTGTTAATTGTTAGTTTGTAATATAATACATATAACTTGATGGTCTAAATGTTCACTTTGAATTATATCTCACAGTGCTTTTGATATTCCTGCGGCTTAGCAGCATGGTGTGAAAATGGCTGTTTGTACTATCTGATTCAAAAACTCTTGTCTTTTGCTCACTTTTCTATCTTCGCTTTTAACATAAAATATATGTATTAATAACATATTTTTCTATTTGACACTTATGTATGAAAATCAACTAAATAATATATTTTATATAACTGTGGTCCAATTATAAGCACTATGATTCCAAAGGCTGTACATCTTTCACTATATGTCCACAATTTACAAGATTCTTATATTCCCTTTATTATATAGGTACTTACTTAATTTAATTGTTCTTAGTATTTGTATACAGTTTTGAACATTTGTTATTATTGATAAGTCGACAGAGTAGTAGTGAATGGTTATGCAGAAGTATACTAACTATATGAGTAGTATCAGATAAACATATTTAAGATTGTACGATTATTTTAAACAGAAACATACGCGCATGTATTTATTTTAACTAGTTTCTCTCAATATCGTAAAATAAAATAGTTTTGTAATTTCTTTCAAACTTACTATCGATGTTTAAATGTTTTCAATTAAAAAATAAAATAATTAACCAGAAGTACTTTCATTCGAAATATAGACAATCATATTTATTCGAATTTGACTGATAAATTAATAGTTATTATTTATTGGGTTCCTATTGAGCTATTCCATAATAGTCAATTATATCATCATGTATATTCGATCGAAAATATCAACTTTTACAATTAAAACGTACAAACAAGTATTTAATAATAACAAAAGTCGGTTAATTTACTTCTATAAAGTAGTGTAGTTAATTAAAATATAATGAACTTATCATAATCCAAATGTCCTATTACGGGAAAAAGTGAAGTTGGTTGGGTTATTATTGAATTTCGTATGTTTCTAGAATGAAAAACTTTCCTATCTGAGTGTTGATACGTGATGCTGTCTATTTGAGTAACATCATTCAATAAACTACCATTTTTACATTGAAACTAAGTTACTAAATAGAAAAATATATTTGATTATGCTGCATCCAAGGTTTCCACCAAAGTTAAATACATGTCTATTTTTGTTAATTAATTTATACATTTTATTAATATAAGCATGAGTACAAAAAGTGTTTATTATGTACGTTTCTAGCAAATTGCCTGTGTTTTGCATCCTGTGTGTAAATAAATGTTTATCTATATGTAGGGAGATTTATTTGGTATAATAACCGATAGCCATTTACAAAATCACATCTATATTTTACTGGGTAAAACCCATCGTTTGGGAAATTTAATATGGAGTAGGAAAAACGCAGTAGAAACAATAAACATCTTTATTATTTACTTTAAACCGTAAACAATGCATATAAATAAAATTGAAAGTTGCTAATTTAAGTCATTTTTATTTTGTTCTTAGAAGGAGATAATAGTAAAAAATGCCTTGTATGTTCTGGCTGAAAATACACCAAAGCAACTTATCCCCTTTTAAGAAGTCAAAAAAGCATCCAAAACAACCATTTCTATGCTCCTAATAATGTTTTCATACAATTTGTATAAACAATATTGCATAATTTAGAAGTTATTTGACAAATATTATGTTGATTCGAGAATTTTTCTGTCATTAAAAAAATGATAGTTTGTTTGCTCTTAGTTCTAATCAAATGATAATTTTAAATGATTTATAAAATGTTTGAAAATAATATTACCTTATGCTAGAAACAATCACATTCGCAGTTAAATTACCAATCATTAGGATGCATGTGGAAAAATGGGCGATTTTAATTAAAAAGGCTGCATGTTTATTGTTTTGCAATTACCTTATAGTGACTCTTTCCATAGTACAACAATTAATATTAATAGTTATCACACAAAACAAGTACCGAATTGTTTGAGGTGTACTATATAACAAGTGGTTTGATGTCAGTTACAGAATGAATAACATTCTCAGAAGCCAATTGGGTTTGCAGCAATTTATATTTCTATACCACAAGTGTTTTTCTTCAAATGTCATTAGTTTTCCACTAGATAATAAAAACCAATTATAGTCCATTCTACATTTAAAATTGATATTCGAAAATACAGCTCTTCATTTTTGTATTATTAATGTCATTTATTTTATCGAAGTATTGCAATAAAATAATCAATTGGTCAAGTGACTTAGATATCCTTTAATAAGTTTCATATGAAACTAGTCTTTGGAAGATCATTTGGTAGAGTAGTTTTAGATACTTAATGCATACGCATTAACAAACGATGGCTGGAATGAATGTTCTAAAAATATTTCTTCAGTCAATGAAGCTCGACTACATATTACGGTTTTATCAACATGATTTATAGTCCATACGTGCCTTAATCAGTGGCATATTTGAGTCATTTTAGTATCTTACTACGTCACACCTAATTAGATTTTTACTTAGTCAAAACTACCCTGTGTCAGTGGCAATGTTCCGTGACGTCAACAATAACTGATTTTTTCCATCCAAACAGGAAATATCCTACTCCCGCGCCCAAAACCACTGCTATGCATAGCCACACGTTGTACGTCATGAATATCAGCATAAGAAAGTAACTGAGAATCATCTGAACCATATGCAGGAATGTCTGGTAAAAGTGGATTTTACTCAACATTGTTGGCCTGAAATATTCAAATATATTTATATATTTAATGGTATAAAACTACTAAGAACCTGCTTTTTATTAAACCAACAGATTCCAACCTTATCATTAGTCAACTATTTATATTGATTCTACTTAATTCAATACACCAATTGATTAGTATACAGATAACATCACGCTACTACGTTCATATGGAAATGAATGAAATAGCAATTTAATTATCGAGTTAAATTCCTCATTTTCTGTGTCTCTATGATCGACTTCAATTTTCAGATATTTGAAGCCAGTAGTGTGAGATCTAAACGTTAATGAGAAAACTTTTGCTTAATATTTTCAATTGTAGTGTTGTCATAACCGTTCGCCCACGTGCCAAGCACGGACGTTCTACGAATGATAATATTTTTCTACGTTTATTTAAATTTTGAAGTAGAGTTTACATAATATTGCTGTACATTTAATTTTAAGAACTAATTTTGCATAGTTGGGTTGGAAAAGGTTTTTTATGTATGGAGTATGAATAAAAATTGAATTGCAAAATAACTTAGAACATTTTAAAGTTGGTACTTATTACAAGCTGATTATTCACCTTCATTCATACATGAACCTAATTGCATGTTGCACATGAAAACTTTAGGCTTTCAAACAGCTTTAAAGCACCCACAAAGGCACTACATTCAACAGGTTTTTAAAAGCACCAAGCACTTTTTTTAAAATTACATCAAGTATTTGATTGAACTTACGGTTTTTTATGAACCACCTCCCCAACGACACTATGAAATGAATTAAAATGTTAGTAAATGAAAAAATGTTTAAAAATGAGAGTACGTAAAAGCAAATTATTATTTTTAATGGCATTCAAGATATACATATTATACAGGGTGTCCCGGAATATGTGGGCATGCTCTCGGATTTGTACAGGGAACGGTAAAAAAAGCAACACGTTTCTTGTTGTTTTTTCAAAACAATAGAAAAATTATCAAACTGAGAATCTTTTTAAATAACTTTTAGAATACTTCATGCAATTTCAATCGCACATTTCAACTGAAAATGTAACCAACAGGTTTTCCACTTAAAATGCAAATTTTAATAAATTTTTAGTTTCAATAAATAAAAAATTATACTCACTGTACTACTTGGGGTTCGTCTGGTACAGCAGCTTTATCAGGCAAGGATACTGCCCTGTATTGCAATGCATTGTACGTTTTCCAAAACAAGTACTCCCTAAATAGAAAACGTAATAATTAAACTATCACTCACGGATAGATATTTTTTATTATTATACTATTATTCTCTAAAGAATAGATTCATACCTGTAATATTTCAACCCTTCATACAGAGCTGCCATGATAAAAATACCAATCATAGATCCAATCAATCCGCCTACCGTAGTAAAACTCCATTGCTCAAAGAGAACAGTGGCACTTGATGAAAATTGAAACTGAAAAGACAAAAAACGTAGAAATAACTAAAGTCTCAGTTCTTATTTGTCGGCACACAAAAATAATGAAACTGTTGCGTAATTTAAAATATCTTATTTAAGCACGTACCCACATATTCATGTCCATACTGTGGCCTCCAGTATGAGCCATACCATGTCCAGTGTGACCACTTCGCCCCAGATCATTATGCATGCTATGATCTGTTGGCATTTGATGAGTCTGGTGATCCATCATATCATGTCCTTCAGGCATATGATGATGAGCCATTGTGTTCCTGCGAACAATGAAAATTAAACATTCGTTTATCAGGAAGCCTTAGTTTTACTAGTTCGTATTAGCGGCATCCAAAAAAATCGTAAAGGTCCTATTAACAAGTTTAGAGTCGTTATTGGTGCTATACCTACACATTTTACTGATATTAAATGTTCGGTTGAGACATTAAGTTGTTTGTCAGGACAGCCAGATAATGAAAAAACCGCAACTATCCGATATATTCACCTACTAATCAACAGACCTAGAAAATTATCTGATATTCGTATTTAAAATTTACCTAGAAAATAAATTTCCAGTTTTTTGCTGATGTTCAGAAAATATCTACCAGACGTTGAATTAATGAATGTATGAGGCAACGCCAATGCACTGGTCGAATTCTTGATCAATCTTATCACTTAAATGGTTCACGCGAAGTTATCGAAAGTTGGTCCCAACAATGACTGAAATTTTGCAAGTGGACAATGGGTAACTAAACTGAATAGCCAATTAATTTGATAAATTGACTAGTAATGAGGTTGATAACTAACACATCGAATACAATCACTTCTGCTTTAGGCAATATATTTAATAGAACGATCAGAATTAATACAAGGTTTTAATTTTACCCCGACAAACTTATAAGCAGCATTTTGTTTATAGTAATATCTTTTGCCTCTACTACTGAACAATACTTGCTCATGAGATTTGAAGTTAATAGAATCTCATATTCGTTAAATAACCAGCCGACTGTACACTACTACTAGTAGTATAAAATTGGAAACCCTTAAATTACCCCAAAACACTGAGTGTGTAAAAAATATTTTGTGTTTTTTTTGTATTCAAAGTTACTTGTTTCTGCAAACAATTACTTACACGAGCAATAATTTGAACGTCAGTAGACAGTCTTTGGAATGAGGCGTTTTCATTCGTAAAACATTTGTTCAAAGTGAAATATAAAATCGATACTGTAAAACCATGTTTGCTGAAATAATTGATGTACATAGTGAAACCTGCAACTATTTTGGAAACTCTTTTAATCGGCGAGTACTGTATTTAAACATTTGTTTAAAAACTATCTGAGTGAATAACAAACTGATGTTTGAATTTGTTGGTCTTATTGTGCAATAAGACGCTTTTAATACCAGAAATTCAACTAAAAAGTGGAGTTGAGATAGATAGTTTCAGAAAAGAAAATGAATACAACAATATATACAAAATGTATATTTAAACATATGGAAACTGTGAAAGTTAACAAGCAGAAAGATACATATTCGCTGGGAATTCCAATTAAATAGATAATGGGCAATGTCGTATTATAAATATACTTAGCAAATACCATCAATGAAGTAACTCAACAAGAGTTTGTTAAAATTACATAACAATATGGAGATTAGTGAAATGCAAGGTTTGAAGCAGGATTATATGTTGGATATAAGCAAGAATCATTAATGCCAGTGGCACAAACAGCAGTTAATAATGTATGCAAATTGAATTTACAGGGAATGAATTATATCCATCTAAATGTAATTACTGCTGCTGCTTACCTGGTTTATATTATAGATTCGGTTCCGTATTAGTTCACAGAGCACCAGCAATTGGGTTGCGAGTGTAACAAGAATGTTAAGTTTGCTTAAAGTTCACCTTTCACTTTTAATTACAAAAAAGTACTTCCTATATTGGCAATGGGGGGCCTTCAATTAAACTGAATTACTTCATAGCACAGTACGGAAACAATAAATATTCTCATTTCAAAATGTTAGTATAAGATGGAAATCGCTAATTATCAAAGGCAAAACCGCACATGCTACCAGTCCGAAGGCAAATAATTGTTTAAATAAAATGTTCACAGCCGAGTCTGTCATAACATTGGAGTGACAGAGAAGTGAA